ATACAAAGCAGTGAACATCATTAATAGGCAATCGTTCGGTGGGCTGAATTGCACAAAACGCATGATCGCACTAGCTAGTCTGGTGCGCGTTGCTATTTATTGTATTTGTATATATGTTAGGTTTTACAGAGTTTAAAAAGTTATTACATACCGCAGATTGATGTATTTGCATATAATGAGCACCAAAATTAGTTGTATGAGAAAGTAATGCTTGGAGTTGAGTAAAAGACAATAAGATTTAAGGCCGAGAAACGGCAGATTTAGTTCGGAGGCACTTAACGCTTTGGAAAGCAAAATACTTGCAGCTGGAAGCATTTTTCTGCATCGGGCAGCAAGGCTCCATTTGGGATTGGGTCTTTTGATGTGAATTTCGTTTCGTTTTTCGTAAATTAGGCAAGCCCGTTGTCAATAATTATATCTTATTGCAGCTCTGACATTTCGCATGTTTTGGACACTATCGAGCTGGAGAATCTCACGATAAAATCTGAGTTATCGCGCTTGCACTCTGTGATGGCTGAAGAGGTTGAAGAAGCACGGGAAGTTTGGCGAAATTTGGAAACACTAGCTGAACCAGCTCCGCTCGAGGAAATTGTCCGGGACGGGAAATGGGACGAAATGGATTACATACCACTCACATTTCAAGAAGCTTGCAGACAGGCCGAGCCATCTCAGCTTCGTCATGCAGGATTCATGGATGCACTGAGCACTTTAAAAAGAGTCTTGGAGCTGTCACGTTTGGATAAAGTCAGTTTTTTGTTACTTTTTTTTTTATAATTGCAATATATTTTTCTTTTTTTTTCTTAAACGTGTTCCTTACACTATGATACTGCTACATTTTGCCGTAGTATTTTCAGCTGTCTTTGCTGCCGGCCCTACTTATTGTTTCTACTCATTTTGAGCTGTCCGCATTTAATCACTTTTGTGATTATTGTTGAAAACAGGCTTCGTGGTGTTGATTACTATTGAATTAGGCCCTCTAAAAGCATTTTTATGATGTAATGCTGGATTCAGCTTTTATAGAGTTATTTTTTCTACACGTTTTAATGCATTTTAGCACATTGTGGTTGATTTTTGTCAGTTGATCGTAGTATCTCGCTTCCTTGGCACAGTATTGCGTCTGTCTGGCTAAATTTTACAGCACCTGAACTACTTTTCCATCCCTGCAGTTGAATTGGATTTTGTTCTCATTAGACCTGATTTTTTTTGTTCTTTTGCACATTTTTTGCTTTTCTTCCTGCCCAGTTACATTTGTCGTACTTAAGGCGAAAGTACATGTTCTGTTTTGCTTTTCTTGCAGTGAAATATCCTAATTTTGAAGTTTTGACTTATCGATTCAAAGATGCATTCTTCAAGGAAAAATTTGCTTGCAGGCCGTTGAAAGTGTTTGGAATTTATGCGTGCAACTGTCAAATGGATGGATGCCGCCCGATTCCCTCATTTTGGGAGCTGTTTCTCAGACAGCCTCAGCTTACGAAGTATTTTCCTATATTGTCGGCTTGTATGACCAGTATATTATTCGTTTGGCCAATTTTTATATTTATTTCGGAGCTCTGTCTGCCACACTTCTCGAGAAGGTTTCTGTTTTAAAAAAAAAATTTTTTTATTCTTTATCTTTCCTTCTTACCCATTCTGTGTACGTCTGCTTTTTCTATACAGCATTGTTGAAACTTAGTTATTGATTCCCAGTTATTTCTGTTGTTTGTTTCAGGGATATGTGAACCCAATACCACAGGTGCAGGAAGAGCAAAACCCGAAGAGCAGCAATAAAATGCAGCCTTGCGATGATGTTGCTGGTATGGGTGATGCCAGTGGAGATAAAGACGTTGGTGAGGAAATCGAAGAAACAGGACAGGTTTGTTTTTATCTTGCTAAATTTACATCGATTTATTTTATGAACAGTTAGCATCTCACATGAGAAATGAGCCGAGCACAAAACATAGAGGCACGAAACGATTTATGATGCCGAAACAGTTTGTCAAAAACACAGTTTTTATTACAATCCAATTACGCGACGCGAAAGTGCGTGAAATGACTCGACGGCAATCGAAAAGGTACTCTTCCTGGAAAATCGTACAAAGAAATCTACATTTCAAAACGGAAATTACTTTCTAATGTAATGTTGAAACATTGTTCTTAGCAAACAGGCTAGGGCCAAGGTTGTCATTTGAGTGCAGCAACTGCAGGTTTTCATCCTCGGAACTATTTGTTGTAATAACTCTGTAGCGTGTCCATGTAATTGTTTACTTCCTCGCGCCGTAAAGATCAAATTTTTTCAGGTTGAAGGGCTGCAAGGCGAAAACAATGCCAATGATGATTCTGATGAGAAGGGAACGGAAAAGCCTAGTGAAAGTACACCGCTTGAA